CACACACACACACACACACACAGACGCTCATGTTGGAAAGGCCATCTTCAAACACGTCATGAGTCATAAGGGTGTGCTGGCTGGCAAGGTACGGAAAGGAAAAACGCCACGAGAAATCTTTTGTAGTTTTTGTTTGAGTAAGAGTTTTGTGGCGCACTTGCAACAAAAGTAGATCCAAAGACAGTACATAACAAGATGGGCCACTCAGCCCAAAAGTGTCCGCCGGATGTTCGCTCTTTGCTTCAGATGGCGCTGCAGTCTGTTTTGAAGCTCTCTTTCGTTTTTCCAGAAGAAGAATAGGTATAGCACCTCATTGCGTGCGAACATCGACTGCTGTTCATCAGCAGTTCGGGTTCCTTCAGTGCGGAGTTTTAGGTTGTTTTAAAAAAATGACCTCTAGCCTTTCATTCTAAAGTCAAATTAAACGAAGAAAACAATCACCGTTTCCTCCGGAAGAGGTTTTTTGTCAGCGTAACCATAAAAAAAGCGTTCTTCCGAAATTTATTCAGAAACGTGCTAGTTTCACTTTGATTTTTTAAACTCAAGTAGGGTAACTCTGTTCGCAAAAGGTGCGCTTTTGCGAAGAGGGCGCCACCGAATTTTGAGGACACTTTTTTAATTGGCTCAAAGAGAGAAGTGGCCCCTCTTGTTATGTAGACGCTTTGGTAGGTCGTAGTTATACGTGGTGTCGATACCTCACCTGTTCTAGCAGGAAGTTGTAGCAGCTGAGAGACAGAGAAGTATCGGTGTTCATGCCCTGACTCACATCGGAGCATTGAAAAAGAACATACAACTATAATATACATGTTACTCTGGTATCAAAGTATTTGAATAAAAATATAAATGATGTGCTCTGATATTACATGATTAAAAGATACCTAAAAGCTATGTGTTTTTGACACCTTAAAAAATTACAAATGAAACATGAACTATGTACTCTGATATAAAAAAGAATTAAAAATAACTAATGCTATGTACCAAGGATAACAAAAATAAGCCAACAAAACATAAACTATATACTCTAACGTTGAAGGATTAAAGATAACAAAAACTATATATAATATAATATATATATACACGCACACACATATATAATAATAATAATATATAATA